CAACAAGAAGAGACCTATTAATAGTAGCACATGACCCAAATGTAGTTAACAAGAAAGAAAAAATTACAGATTTTTTTAAGATTTTAGAGAGAAATAAACTGCAGCAAAAAAAAAATGCAAAAATAATGAGCGACCTGAGTGGACAAATCTGGAACAATAACGACGGTTTCAGAGATTTTTAAGAAAACAAGGAGAAAAAGCGAAAAACTTAAACGCAGAGAGAATGTTGAATTTTTGTAAAGAAAATGAAATGATCTTGACGAAGATGTACTTCAAGCGCAGATGGATATATATGTACAATGGAAATGACAAGTCGAAAAGAAAATTTGATAATAGACTACGTCATTGTGCATAAAAATCTGTGAGCAAGAGTCAAGACATAAAAGTAGAAATGGGGCCCGAAGATAGGCAGTGACCATTTCTTGGTCGGTATGAAATGGAAATTCGATGGAACAAACCAGAAAGAAAAGTAATCAACGAGAAGATTAGATAAGAAAAGTATCAAGAATGATTAGAACAAAAAATGAAATCTATCAATCTACAAAACCCTGTAGAACAACTGTCAAAGGATTTTGAAATAGCAGTCCTCTTAGTGGCCATAAAACTTGTGGAACAACAAAAATTTCAAACAGGAACAAGACCCAATGATGGAATGAAGTTTTAAAAAATGCAGCTAAACTCAAGAAACAAAAATTAGTCGAAGGTTATTTTAGCAGAATTTTCCTCGCTTCTAAAGTAGTGTCCAACAAATCCTACTTCTTTCAGAAATGATAAAATTTGATAATAAGGACAAAATAATAATAAACAAACACTCCAAAAATAAGTCAAAGTAAGAATATTCGGACAACTTATTTAGTAGGGATGTACCGACTAGTGGCCGACCGGTCGGATAAGCCGACTATTCGGCCATTTTTCATCGTCGGCTACAGTCGGCGACTAGTCGGCTAAACAGCCGACCGGTCGGCTTTTTTTATTAGAATTAAAATAGTATATAAAACAATTAAACCAGGTTTACAAAACCTCAATTGAATATTTAATTGCGATTTAATTTTTAACCCCGCCTTAAAGTACCATGTGACCGACTCTACGCCAATCAGACGTCGCTAATGGCCTTGTTAAATGCGCGATCAACTTAATCGCAGTTAAAATATTGTATAAACTGGCCCTAAATTGTGTTATTCTTTATTTTTGTACTGAGTTACTAAAAAAAATTAAATGTTAAAATTATCGAAACAAATTTAATACATTTTTTGGAAAACAAAGGAACTTTAGTCATTCCTGTTATTAAAATTGTATGAACAACAGTTCCCACAAAATCAGGTGTTCAACCTGAGCGCATTCATAATAATTGTATAAATGTAAATACTTCCGATCTTTCGGCTACCTGCCCTACGCTCCTACATACTTTCTCTTTTCGCTTCTAGAATTTTCTAAACTCCTTCTTTACCTACTTCCACCTCTTCGAAACCGAGCTTACCTGTGTACCATTTTAAACACCCTTCCTTCTTCTCCCTGGCACTCTCGAACAGTAAAGAACGAAATAAAATCTGAAAACCGTACCGTCGCTTTTAAATCACCAACAATACCCACAAAATAAAACAAATTTTTAAAGTAGTCAGAGAAATAGGAAAAAAAAACATACTGTCTGTCGCATTTATAAACCGGTTTTAGCAAAGCCGAACAGTCGGCCGACTAGTCGGCTTTTACTGGCCGAACATTCGGCTAGTCGGCTAGTCGGCCAGACCTACAGTCGGTACATCTCTATTATTTAGTATTGGTAGATATTTTTACAAGATTTTTATGTTTGATAGTTTGTAATAAAAGATATCAATTCTTGATTTAAGTGAACAATAGTTCGATGTCGAATTTGTAAAGTAATTTTCTTCTCTTGTCCTACTTTTGTACCTTTCAGATTTACTTGATGTTATTTCTCCCTGTTACCTTGGTCTTCTCCGTATTTATTTTATGGAGTCCTTGTAAACTTGTGAGCCGTGTCGCGTGCGTACAGAATTTTCGTTCGTTACAAATACGGTCTTGTATTGCTTGAAGCAGACGGTCTCTGGAGATCGTACCTGTATAATTTATGGTTTTCGAGTTTTGCGTGTTGCTAAAGGTGTAAAATATTATTAGTATGTATTTATAGTGATCTTAGTATACTTCAGACAAAGAGAACTTTTTCGACCTGATCTGATTTGTAGGCCTCGGCTAAGCCTCGAGCTAAAAAGTTCTTTTCTTTGGCTTTGATACACAAACAACGATAGCATGAAGAATTCCTTCTTAAATAAGAAAGAGATACATATGCAAATAAAGACACAGATAATTAAAAGAGTAGTTAGACTAATACATTTCGATCTGAAGCTTGGATGACAATAAAGATTCAAAAAGAGAAAACATAAAGCGCTGAGATGAGGTTTCTCAAAAAAATCGAATAAAAAGCAAGTTTACATAAAGCATTGATTAAATACATATAGATAGACCCATGCTATTGTTTGGAGCGAACAGGCCAACGGCCGGCGAACAAGAGATGGCGCACCAACAGTCGGCCGTCAAACGCCGGCGAAAAGCTTGGACACCAATCACGCGCATAGGTAACACAAATCACACCAACAATACATTTAATAAATCTACCACTCGATAGAGGGCCACGAAAAAAATGTGTAAAAATCTCATAGTCAGCATTTAGATAATTTACAACGTTGCCAGATGAGTCTAACACAACTTTGCCGTTATTTCTATTCGATTAGATTTTATTTCGTTTAAAAGTTTCTGGTAAATAAATGGAATTATTATAATGAATAAACAATACAAACAAATTATTACTTGTTATTTTAAATACTTGTTAGTGTTGATGAAAACATAAATAGTTATTAAAGTTATTCTAAATAGCTCAAATTTTACAGTACGATTGGGATGTTTCAGGACGAGTAGGTAGCCGAGTCTTTAATTTCGAAACGAGTACTGCGAAAAGAGTTACCGGACGTTTGTCGGTATGGATTTTATTTCATACTGTCAACATATTTTTTTATTCGATAAAATTATTACTATTTTGAGAAAAAGTTCAAATCGAGTCACTTTTTGTGACATCGTTAGCAACCGCTGTTTAGCAAATGTTTTAATTTGTTTATTCGTGCAAATCAGCATCAAAAATGGTGTTTAAACACATAGTAACACTTTACAGGACTTGTTCTTTTTAGCTCAATTTTACCGGACACTCTTTGTTTTCTTTGAGATACGAGTAGTTCTTGTGCCGAAGTGAAACACCAAAAAGTCTAAAGTTCGGAAATCAGAGTGAATTTTAAAACACATAAAAACGACTTCTTTATTTATTTAAATATTGTCCTGTAACGTCCTGCGACGTGGAATGGAGTTTCTTCATGTACAAAAGTATGTTAGATAATAACCGAAAAATTTTCTTGGTTAAAACTAAAGGAAACACAATTATTACTTGGAATAAAAATAAAGAATATCGAGAACTTGTGCTATGTATTAAAAATATTTAATTTAAATAAGTAAATTATATTAATAAACCATAAAACCACAAAAACCTTTTTTTAACACAAATTATATTTCAATAAATTTTCAGTAGCGAGTTATCGATATACTTAATTGTATTTACATCATAAAATGTGAAAGAAAATGTCTGATTTTTGACTTTATGCGGCATATGTTACCCGTTTTTTAAGATATATATGAATGCATATGTTTTGTCTTTAGTATATATCTGTCCGTCTCTAGTCTAATAAATTTTCTAAAAAAATATAGTAAGTTTTGAGAAAACGCATTTAAAAGCATTTTCCTTTGTATTATTAATAACAGAAGCGAGCACATAAAAGCGTAGAAAAAATTTCCAATGTGTTATTTACATTTATTTTACTTCATACTGTGTCAAATTTCACGTTTTACTGGATTCGAAGGAGTCCGGTAAAATAAAAAAAACGGACAAGTCCGGTAAAATTGAGCTAAAAAGAACAAGTCCTGTAAAGTGTTACTATGTGTTTAAACACCATTTTTGATGCTGATTTGCACGAATAAACAAATTAAAACATTTACCAAACAGCGGTTGCTGACGATGTCAGAAAAAGTGACTCGATTTGAACTTTTTCTCAAAATAGTAATTAATTTATCGAATAAAAAAATATGTTGATAGTATGAAATAAAATATCCATAACGACATACGTCCGGTAACTCTTTTCGCAGTACTCGTTTCGAAATTAAAGACTCGGCTCCCTACAGTCGCCTCGTCCTGAAACATCTCACTCGTACTGTAAAATTTGAGTTACCGGACCGTATTTATAATAATGTTAGCACTAACAAGTATTTAAAATAACAAATGATGATTTGTTTGTTTTATTTATTTTTATTCATTATAATAATCCCATTTCTTTATCAGAAACTTTTAAACGAAATAAAACCTACTTGGCTAGAAATAACGGCAAACTTGTGTTAGGCTCATCTGGCAACGTTGTAAATTAGCTAAATGCTGACTATGAGATTTTTACACATTTTTTTCGTCGCCCTCTATCGAGTGGTAGATTTATTAAATGTATTGTTGGTGTGATTTGTGTTACCTATGTGCGTGATTGGTGTCCAAGCTTTTCGCCGGCGTTTGACGGCCGACTGTTGGTGCGCCATCTCTTGTTCGCCGGCCGTTGGCCTGTTCGCTCCAAACAATAGCATGGGTCTGTCTATACGTATTTAATCAATGCATAAAGTAAAAGGATCATGTTTAGAGAAAACCTAGAGACAAACTTTTATAGAAGGACACTTTGGATGCTTAGGACACGAAATGAAGACGACAATTCCGTTGGAAGTATATACGAAGCTAGAATAATCAACAGAAAACGAAGGAAAAAGGTGCAAAGAGGAAGTCAAACATAGAAAAAGATGCAGGGAGGCATGTAAAAAGAAAGTAAAGTCACTTGTCTGACACTCGCAAGGGTAAATAGGCTTAAGATTAAATAAAAGTAAGTAAGTATTTATGAAACAATAGTTTACTCACTTTACGTATTGTCTAGATATTTACATGTTATAAGTATTCACAAAAAATACAATAAATAAATACATTATTCTATTCTACAAAAAATTAATTTAATATGACTATGATGAGAGAAAATAGTAACAATTTACACGGTGGTTCACTTTATGTCCATTTAACATCAATCAAATAGTTCAAAACAGTGCTAGCACCTAAAGCTACGGCAATGACGATTACAAACAACGTAATTATAATAAACCACTTTTTCGTTTTCGATTGTAACGGCACTGGATCCTTAGCAGCGAAAAATGATTTCATTTTAGACTGTTCGTCTTCAAGCAGCTTATCCTCGTCGTAAGAATTCAACTCCGCTTTATCATCTTCTTTCATATTATCCACCAATAACTTCATCATCGTCGCCTGTTTCTTCAGTCTAGCCGCATGTACCACTCTGGGTTTAATTTTGGCACCATGTTTTATAAACAACTTTGCCATATCCACCCGTCCACAACACACTGCTTGGTACAAAGGATTCTGACTGTCATCAGCATTTAACTTGACTCCTTTTGTAAGCAAAAATTCAGCCATTTCGACTGAACCGTTTTGAGCGGCAATATCTAAAGGTTGGTGCAACTTTCTCTTCCAGGTCATAGGCGTCATAGGTTTCCATATTGATCCCATTATGGAGTTGCTATTACAGACGGGATTAGTTTCCATTAACAATTTAACCACTTGGAGATGACCGTTTTTAATAGCAATAGTCAATGGCGTCCACCCATTCGTTTTAACAGCATTGACATTAGCCTGCTTGTGAATTAAAAGTTTCACCACTTGCAGATATCCAAACTTAGCTGCTATGTAAAGTGGACCTTCGCCATTTTTGCCAACCATGTTCACTTTCGCACCTTTTGAAATTAGGTACTTAGCGACTTCTAAGTTACCTTTTCTGGCAGCTACGTATAGTGGACCATACCCGTCTTTGTTTGGCATGTTGACGTCAGCTTTGTGCTCAACCAACAGTTGTATTACAGCCATAAACGATTTTTGAACAGCAACCAGCAATGGTGTCCAGCCATTTTTCTTTGAAACGTTAACGTTGCTTTTGTTTGATAGAAGATACTGTAGTACTTCTATCTGTTCGTATTGTGCTGCTACATACAAAGGAGTATCTTCACCACTTCTGCTGCCTAGATGTAGATCGCCTCCCATGTTTTTTAAACTCTTCATGATATTTAAGTGCCCAAAACACGACGCATAGTGAACTGGTGCCCATTTCCTCTGATCGGTCTTGTTAATGGTGCGTCTGTAAAGCTTACTCTCTAGTAGCAAACGAAGTATATGTGGTCGGTCAAAAGCGGCACAAAGATGTAGAAGAGACCCACCAGTGGTTGTTTCAATATATGGTACTTCTTTTACGCTATTCAGTAAGTGGGTATAGTCGAACTTGATGATGTAGTAAAGTATCGTTGGCAAGTCTTTAAAATTCTTTAATTGTTCCCAGTCACATGGTTTAAATTTTAAAAACGTGTTTATTGCCGACAGTGATAAAGACTGATCGGCGTACTGAAGACAATCAAATTCGAATAACCTATCTTTTTGTCCAGTGTTGCATTTTTCTACAAGCACATTTAGTATTTCGACGTAGTTCGGATTTTCTTCTTTAGTTGCAAACCCTTTCTCGGTTCCAATAACAATTTTCTTGCGTTCGTTGCGACTGTTCAACAGTGCGTGTGTTTCACCCCAGGACGAAGCTAGATGAAGAGGAGATCTTCCAACTTTATCTTGAAGATTAACTTCATCTAGATGCTTCTGCAGAAGGTCGACGTTTTTATACAACACGGCAACGTGAGCAGGACATTCTTTTGCCATAATAAGATCGAACATAAATCTCACTCCTTTGAAGTTATCGTCAAAGAAAAATGCCCCCAAGTTTGTGATTTTTTGATAATTCTTTGACAACCACAAGGCGACGAAATATTCGGCGTAAGTTCTGTGAGCAAAATTGACTGTGTTTTTGGTCACTTCAAGTATTCCAAAGCAGTCGTCTTCTTTTTGCATTTTGAGCAAAAAGTTGTCGATGCTGTAGAGCTTCAAAGTCGCTAGTATCTCTGGAGCTAGACACAGGTTTAAAGCGACCATTTCGTAGTCTTCAATACGTCGCTCTTTGTGTTCTTGAATTATCGTTTTCGCGACGTTATTATTGACGTCGATGTTTGCCTTGCTGTAGTAGAAACGAAATTTTTCGTGTACAAAATATTCGTAAAGATCGGTCACCGAGAAGGTGTAAGCTAACAAAGTTTTGCAAAGTCGGTTGTTTTGTCGGTACAATTCAGTCAACATGAAGATTTGCAGTGGCACTCCTAAGTGGTCGTTGTCGATTTTCTTCATTATTTCGTCTACCGTTTGCTCCAAATTGTCAACATCGTGGAGACGGCTTAAAACGTACTTGTGTTGATCCTTTTCGTCAAACGGTTTGATGCTTCTGGACAGAATGTTCAATCTTTCTTCTAAAGTTCTTTTCAAATTGGTTCTGGCGGTTATCCATTGGACGAACCCTCGGATTTTTACTTCTTCGATTGTTTTCAACACATTTTCAAACACTTCTCTCCCTATTTCGTCAATTCCATCCCATATTAACACCACTCGTTTCGTTTCTTTATACTTGTTAAAAACGCCTTGTTCAAATCCCGTCAACGAAGAAATTTCTAACAAGTATTGTAAAAATTCGCCATGATCAGCACTTTTCCCAAAAAACGCGACATGCTCTCTTAGGAGTATTTTCACGACCCAAACCTCTGAAGAATAATTGTTCTTCAGGTTGGACATCATCATAGATTTACCCATTCCGGCGTCAGCGCAAATTATATTCGTTTGGTAAGCATTGGCAAGATTTTTTTCCTTCACAAAATGGTTTTCTTTGGATGGTGATTGTCGTAGACTTTCTACACTTCTGGCACTTTCCAACCACTCTAAATTATTATTGTGGTCGATTTGAAAATGGTGACAAGGGCTTGTTGGGTTTTCTTCGCAAATCCGTTTGAACATTTCTCTTGGACATTCTGCTTCTGCGACATAAATGTTTCGTTTGTTAAAGAATTCTGTCAAGGAATCTCGAGGGGAGTCGGACGAATCTGAAGACTCGTCAAGTTGTAGAAAATTGACGTCTTGAAATTTGTTCTTCAGGTAGTTGAGTTTACCGTTACAGCTGATCACACTGATGTTTGTATCGCTGAATTTGTCTATGAAACTTATATCAATCACCATTTTGGTTAATTTTCTCTCGATATAATAATCTGGGACCACTTCTTTAGGATTGCCAAAGTTGCAAGCTCCGACCACCATTGTCAAGAGTTCGTCTGTAGTGAAAACAAGTCGAAGAGTTTCGTTGTTGTTGATTATATCTTCAAGAGTGGCTTCCTTTTGTCCTTGAAACGAACAAGTAAACGTTGAGACCATTTTGTTGTAAATGTCTTCACAATTTTCGTACAGATCTGACAAAGTATGGAACGTCTTCCAATCTAAAAACTTTTTTTTTGTTCCGACTAAGATAAATTTCTTCTTTTGGCTATTACATTGGCACAAACTGATTGCTTTAAAAATTATAGCCTCGTTGGAGTCATTAACTTCCAAAATTAAAGGACACTCATTCAAGAGCCATAGTAACGCAGCTCTTTTTGAGTCTGATATCTCGGAGATATTTTTGATACGTTTTGTCAATAGTTGGTACTTCATGCCAATTTGATTCAGGTCATTTAAATCAATCTGACTTTTAGAAATTGCTATATTCGTATTTTTTAATAAATTAGAGTTAGATATGACAGTTATATCAAATCTATCAATGGCTTCTTCAAATAAAACTGATCTTTCTGAGTTTTGACTGTCAGTCGGTACTAAAATGTACGGTGATAGCAGACACTCTACTATTTTCAGCTGAAGAAACTCCTTGTTTAAAATATCTTTCTTACCATCACTATTGCACCATGTCGTGATAAAATCCAAATAGTTTTTCACAGCGTTAACATCACACTTGAACTTATCTTGAAAAATTATCGTGATCACGTCCCGAACATCATTCGCGTTCTTTTGATTAGTGTACAAGTAAAAATGTCTGAAAAACTCCTTATACTGCTTAATTTCCTGCACTGCAGCCTTATCCTTTTTCCCATCTTCACTCTCCTTCACATAAAACTTGTAAACACTATTCTGTTTCTCTTTCGCGGTGTTAATAACCTCGAAGTGTTCCTTAAGATGGACGATGTGAACGGCGAAACGTTGCATCCGAATAAGTTCGATGTTATCACCCACATCGAATTTCCTGTTGGTGAAAAGAATGAGCTTTGCGTTGTCTGTGCTCGGCTTTTCAATGTATTCCTCGAATCGCTTCCTGACGCTGAACTTCCCCTTCTCTGCTTGCAACGCAGCGAGGAGCAGGTTCTTGTTTTTGCCCGTTTGTTTGTGTTTTGCTTGAATATTGAATTGGTCGCGGCGGCCGTTTTTCCAAGTGGTTTGGATAACCAGGTCGTCGAAGTTGCCGTGTTCTTCATCGTTGGAGCTTATTTTGAAATCGGCGACTTCGTCGTCGAGGACTAGTTTCAGGGAGTAGTAAGCCACTAGGAAGTTTTCGTAGTCTTTGCCTTGATCGGTGGTGCCGGATCTCTTGTGGAATTGCTATAAAAAGTGAGGTATGTTAATAATTTTGTAGAGTTTCTGATTGCAAAATGTTATCATGTTTTTTAACCAGCCATTGAAATAATAATTGTTTAGTGCACGTTGCATTTATCAATGATAAGTTATGATAGCCATAAAAAGGAATTATGGTAGCTACTTACGTCTTTATACATTGCTGATCATAAATAAATGTATAAAAAAATTCTGTAATTCCGTCATTTCTGACCGAATTCTAGCACAATACAAAACTCAATTTGTAGGTAAACTGATAAGAGAGTGATTAGGGATAATATATTAATCTGTGATAAGCGCTATTGTTGGAGCGTTATTTATCCACTTTTTATCAAAGAAAGGAAATGCTAAATACATCTCGTTAGTGATCCATGTATTTGTTGGATAATGCAAATAGATGTGATGAAGATAACACGCTCTGATAAAAATTTTCGTGCTAAATACTCAATTTTGAAATATGAATAAGATTGACTCATTTGATACACAATAACCTACATAGATTAGAGATTACAATAAAAACACAAAGAAAAATATTCAAGTAATCGATTAAAATTAAATTGAATATTCAGGAATAAATGTTCAAATTCAAGCTGTGAGAAAATAATTAAGCTGTAAAAATTTATAATGTTATAAGATTATGTCATTGTGGAGAACCTATAAAAAACTAATTTTGTTCATCCTGACGGTAAATTAAAAACCAGACTTAGAATTTCGGAGTGATCAATACCATTTAAAAAATTTTCATCTGGTAATGCACATTTTCAAACTCTACCAGTCGTGAAATGTTCAGAAAACTTTAAATTAGACATTCGTTAAAACGAATCTGTCACAATACTTGAATTCTCGTTCGAATAGTAAAAATGGTAAAACTCGTGTCGCCATTAACTCGACCAATTACATGAGAAATCCCGAATGTCCCGGAAGTTTTTGTGAATTTAACTTGTGACAAATGGATGGAATAAAATTTTATAAAAAAACTGGAATAATATTGGAGTTGAAATTTTGTACAATTTTTATTAAATGAAAGTTGTGTCGTTATCTGTGACAAGGATTTAAGAAGAATTACGTCGTCAGGTCTCGACTAAACTAAAATAATCTGTTTGAAAATGTGAATTCATCTGGCTCACACTAAACCATAAAACTACGCGACGTTTTACTTTGATATTTATTATTATCCGTTCGTTTTCACGTCTGTAATAAAAACACTGCATAAAACTAGATTATTTTATGATTTTTAATGTCGACGAGCTAAACAACTAGCAGTTTTTATTAGAGGGGCGGAAGCTTGAAAATAGAAAAAATATATTTGGGTTGGAAGCAAATGTATTTTATATTTTCTTCAGCAATGAAAAAATAAAAGAAATGTGAAATAGCCCTCCCGAGAGTCACACTCTGACGTTGACGACTTACAAAACTACCACCTAGTTGCCGTGTAACGAACAAGCAATTCCCTTTCCTATAAGAAATTCACCTTATGCTAAATAATAAATAACTTCAGAACCTACAATCGATATTTTAATGTCACCTCATCATGTTTACTATTACAATGCAAGATGGTGCATTTACGGTAAGCCGTAACAATTTGAAAATGGAATGCGATATATGTGGTTGGAAAAAATCGTCGTCGTCGTACACCACTGCATTTACATATCTGTGATGTTTTGGTTCAGCAGTATGACATCACTTTCTTAAAAATATACATTTTTCGGTACTAGATAATGTTTTCGTTAGTGACTCTGCTAAGTATAAGTAGTGGTATTGTTCACGTGAAAGTCGCATGAACAGCCTGCGCTATAACCCCGTCGAGCTGAACATTGTTTAAATAGTTTTATAAATATGACAGATTTAGTTGTCAAACAAACAAAAAAATTTTCGTATAGGTTGAAAAAGTTAAAATACAGTTTGTAGTGTGCCGCTCGGCAAGTGGGAGATGTGTGGTTCGATTCCCACCGGGGCAGAAACATTTTTCTTCGCTTACCTATACTAGAAATGTTAAAATCAGTTGGAACAAATTCTGCAGTCCATCCATTACTTTATCTAACTCCTGCTTTTCGGCTTCAATGTTCAGAATGTGCCCAATTACAGTTCCCTAATTTTCACTGCTTATTATGTGGTTAATGGCTCTTTTCAACAGAGCTTGTACACCTTGTGGCTCTAATAATACCTATTCACTAAACCATTTAAATAAAAAAAAAATTGTAGAGTCCTCTAGATCGTTTCGATCACAGTTTCACAAAATTCACTGTGTTTACCACAGTCATTCTTAAGTTTGTGATTACGTTTTATTTTAGAAGGATAGTTTGAGCATCCTTTTGAATGAATTTCTTGACATTTCTGCAGCAACACTTAACTGTCGAATTGATACGTCGCATTACTACTTATCATAAAATACCCGTTTCGTTCCCTTCATTAGTGAGGGGTTAGTTTATTATGATTATGTTTTTATCCAGCTAATAAGTTTTAGGAAAATTTTGCACAAGTTCCAGGACAGAATTAAATACAGGGTTTTTATAAATAATTCTAAGGGCGTGGTTAGTTGGCCATGGATTTCAAAAATCCCGCTTCGCTGTAATTATGTCTCATTATGACAGTTCTCACTTGTCCTTAATGCCATTTGTAACCTGTAAGTATAGTGTATTCTGTTGAAAAAGACATTTTCATTGTTGTCTTATTATCGAAATGGGGCATTCATAAACGCAGAGTGTCTGTATTCTGTAACCGCTTGTAATCAACAATATCTGGCCAAATACCGTAATTTAATAATTGGAGAAACATCAACAGAGGCTCACATCACAGATGTAATCAACAGATTTGTTCGAACTAGAAGTGTCAACAAAGGTAAATCTGCTGGAAAACCTTCAGTATCTGAGGAAGTTTTTGAGGATTTGAGCAGAATCCACAATCGTCTTTGACAAGATTTCCTCAGCAGTCAGGAGTTCCTGTTGCAACATGAAATTGAACAATGAGCATTGACGAAATGATTGGAGAATATTTTCAACATTTACTGTGATGTTTAACGACAATAAATTTGTTTCTTTTTATTGTAATGAATTAGTTTAATTTTTAATAAGACAAGAAGCATCTAGGCAACCACTTATACAGATGCGTGTGGTATTTGTCGTGGGTCGTTGGACACTTAGTAAAGGCCAAAACTGAGAGGCGACACGTTTTCATGACCTACTTCGACCCTATAATCATTGATGAAATCCTGTATAAGAGAATATAAATTGCCAGCAAAATATACATGACAATTCCAAATCTCATTTTGAATGCCAAAAGCTATCAATTATTTGCAGGCGATATAAAAATGTTGATGATTGAATGTTTAGCACTATTTAGGAAGTTTTCTAGTATTACAGATTTAGGCGCAATTTTTTATTAAAATTTTAGCTTTGTTGAACATATATGAAATATTCCTGACAGACGTTAAATATTGAGTGTTGAAAAACTCATCAAGTTAGGTTTGGTTTTTCTAAACGTTGTGAAGTAAAAAACCTATAATTTAATTGATGGCAGCTGACAACGCGGAATGACACAATTTAAGCTCACTTTTTCGTTAAATAAAATATTTCTTTACTAGAGATTATATGAACTTTATACTTAGTTCTCCTTCCTCGCATTCCCCGCAAGGAAATAATTATTTTCCTTAGGAGACGGAAATAGGGCCATTTGGAATCCGAAATGAAATTTATTGTAAATCATAAAGTAACTTATTGGATGTCTTAAAATTTATAAAATTTAATATTTAATATTCTTTATTATAGAAAAATAGAGATACAAAAACAGTTAATTCGAAATAAAAAAAAAAAAATCCGCTACCTGAAAGATAAAAAGCGAATTTCAAAAGCACCTACTTATATGAATATTTATTTTTCCTTAATTGACATATACTCAGTCACGACCGGAACAAATAACGTCAGTATTATATCGTGGGGCTCCTAGCTCAGTTTGACCTCATTTAACCTGAGCTACCAGCCCCACTACTTTTTATCGAGCGTTTTGACAACGTCTTGTGGAAGTACAGATTTAAACAAAGACGGTTAAGTGTAATCCGGTTGGCCGAGTAGTCTAAGATGTCGGTATAAGCCCCGATTCTGGAAAAAAGAGCGTGGATTGGAATCACACACCTGACACTATTTTTCATCGATCTATAAGTTAAACATCAAACAAAACAATTAAGGGTAGTCAGTTTGGCCGAGCGGTCTAAGGCGACAACCTTTAAGATCTGATTCTCGAAAAAAAGCGTGGGTTCGAATCCCACACCTGGTATCTTGTGATCTAATTTTCTCATCTCAATTTCTATTACTTCCACTCTTACTTGATTTAGATCTGGAACATTATTACCCACATTGGATTCCACAGTCTTTTTCTTCAAACAATGAATCGAAATAGTCAATTTGTTATCTTTCATTACTTCTTCATATAACTCCGCATCCGTTTCAAGCGGTGAAACACGATTTTGAGGTTACATTAGTTTGTAAGTATAGATTAAAAGATGATGGCAAAGGCTCCTTGACCCCAAGGAAAGCTATGGCTTCTTTGCTAAGATTTTCGGTTCTAAAGCATGCGCAACAAAACAAGAAACAGTGATTGCACACGCTGACTTAAAAGGACATTTTTAACAAAAGCACAATTTTAAAATATGTTTTTTCTCATTTTTGGTTATTTCCTATCATTTTAAATGTCCTTTTATTTTATTTAATTTTTTGTGTTCCCTGTGACGACTCGATTTTAATTTTCAACTTTAATATGGTTGGACAAAATTTGCGTGTAGTATCAGATTCAGTTTCCAAGTGAAAATGAGTCTGGATATTCTTATTTATATAACCCTGTATGACTTGTTTGCTGCTATTAATAGTTCTTAAATTTATTGATGATTTAAAAAATAACCTATACTTTTTAGTGGATGAATTTATTGGTATTTCTTTCACATTAATTTTGGTCATAGTAAAATGAGACATAAATCTTATAGCCTATCTCCGTTCATGTTCCCCTTAAAAACATCATAAAAGCTCCAACAATACTTTTCGTGTCTTCAACGAACTTTCATCAAAGAAATGTTGGTAAGTAAATGTTTGATATTAGAACGAAAGTTTCTCAGTGACTACTAAAATTCAGAATAATTTGGATTAGCTTCCGTTGCAGATGCAACTGCTTAGTTGAAATGAAATTACGACGAAAATATAAAACTTACATAATATTTATTTTTATATGATTTTGTAAGTTTATACTTGTGGCACTAATTAAAGTCATCGAGGAGCAGCCATTTTTGGAGAAATTAATAAAAGTCAAAGTAAAGATATATGCCATAAATATACAGAGTGCCGCATCCAAGTTTGAACATTTGAGAACTATCAGACAGAATTTTTTTCAAATCCTTTCATCGCGCCCATTCAATGTAAAAAGGTTTTAAAAATCGTATTTTGAAATATGCGCTCGATCCAATTTTGCGCGAAAAGTTCCGTCTCAGTTCGAAGATCGCCTCTTTGCATTAGCCATAGAAAATCGAAATGTCTCACTCAGAAATCACTGAACCACTCAAATTGAATTATTTTATACTGTGTGATGATTATTGTAGGACAAATTAAACGGAATAAATGCACAAATTGCACAAAATATTTTATGAGATTATGTTGTTAGTGCCGATTCATTTTAGTGAGTTTTTATTACAAAAATCTCAGTAAAATGCACATGCCTAACATTAATATTTTTAGTATTATTATAACCTCCATGAACAGTTTTAAATCATCCACAAAGAGTAAAAATTGGTAGTACTGAAGGTGAGAAATGTCGTTTATGAAAGGAATAAAAAGAATAGGGCTTAAGGGACTGCCTTGAGGGACACCCCATGTTACATTTATTTTTTGGGGGAAGATTCCACTAATGCGAGCGGTATTTCTTCTGCCGTGTAATGTTTAAATTTGATTAGCAAAGATTTATATTGATACGATCAAAAGCTTTACTAAAATCAAAATAAATGGCATCCACTTGGTAGGTAACCTTATTCTGCCGAGTTTGAAATATAACCACTATAAGTTGGAAGATCCTCAGCGTAATACGATTAGGTATAAAACCATGTTGGTTAGTGTAAAAGTTGATAAAAGTTATAATAATAACAGCCAGAAGTTTATCAGCTGTAATAGATTCGAGAACCTTATTTAATGATAAAATAATATATAAAAAGCGAGCGACAAATTTCAGCTTTTACGAACTGTCTTGGGTAAATATAGCTCTATAACAGATCACAAGTTAATACGATTAGAGACACTAAAGCAGGACGAATCCAACGGTTCCTTTAAAACCGTGAAATTAATTTTTTGTATCAAGAACGTTCTTTTGGTAAGAATAGTGCGTAGACTGAAACCTTAACGCTACAATTTTAATAGACTAAATAAAATTGACTTTGTAAATGAAACGTAAACAACTTACTTATTCAACTAAGCTTATCTCTTTGTACTTTGAACGTCAAAAGTTAAGCCACCATCTCTAGCGTTGTATTATTCAACTTTGAGTATTTAGCGGTGACCTGGAAAAATTCATGAATTCCAAAAGACAGACGAGTTTGTAGAAGGGTTGACAAGTTGATTGTATTACACGCTTTTGATGTATGAAACGTCTCACTCGTCGGGCCTTTTCAGCGCTCCTCCTGAAAATGCATTACACAATAGTTTCTGATTTATGGCTACGTCGTCGACGGTATTACGTACTGAAACGTAAGCCTTTTTTGCGGCCGATGTTTCCAATTCGTTTAACATCAGCCATGTCTTAGTTGGGACGTGTACACGATTGGCTCGAGGATCTCGACCCTAATCGATACCACTTAAAGGACAGTTTTTTATTCAAATTTACTTTTTTACTTAAAGGATTCAGTAATGATGCTCCCGACGCGTACACGTGTTCGACCTTTCCCCGTTTAAACATTTTTACATTAAGCACGAGCCTTCAGCAACTGTTACTGAATTTAATCCAGCGAAAAAAGAGCCTCGTCAAAGATGAAATGCTACAAGCTGGAGACAAAAAACAGCGAAGTTGGGAAAAAGCCAATACAAAAGAAATTTTTCCGACGAAATGTTAAAACGTTATAAAGATTTGCCAACTTTCGTTTCTTTTAGTCGACGTTCACAAAACTGTATTCTATCGACAAAGCTGCGGGAATCACAAAGGATAAGTTTATTGTTTTTTTTTTGTTTCAGGTATGTACGGTGGTGATTTCACATGCGGACTTGCTTCAACAAACGGGATTGTTAAAGGGAAATTGTGGAAACAAGTCAAACGGAAAATTTGTGGTGAATATAAACAGAGATGTCTTGTAAAAGCAACAATGCTGAGAGAGTTACCACGTAAACCCCCCTATCAACTACATGTGAGTCTATTAGGGCTTTTAGAAATAGTTCGTTGTTGTACGCACTTAATAGTAACATTAATTGTTGTGTTTACTAACTTGCTTCATTCGTGTAAGATTTCCACTAAGGTTAAAATGGATCGGAAGATATTTTAACGGCTATGATTTTTATTTGTCTGTAACATAAGTATTTCAAATTGTTCCAAAATGTATACATATATAAATATTTCATTCAAAGTTTAGCAGACGTGGAAACAAACGTAAATTAAATAAGAATTCCATTACACGAGATAGGTACGTCTTAAAGTTGATATAAACCGCAAGTTTGTCTCTTTCAGATGAATGAAAAAATTTCATAACGTGTAGATAATAACTGAGATTACTTTTGAAACGAGATTTAGATTCGTCTGTTGTGCGTAAATTTTAAGACCCCAGGGAATGTTTGTGCGTAATAATAACGAAACGAAAAAACTGAACACCGTGATGTGTAGGTTGTTACATGCTCTTGAAATATATTAGGGACTATATTTTTTGGCAAGGCTGACGTTTCCCGCAATTTTAAAAACCGCCAGTTTTCCAGCTAGTGTTCGCCAAATATTTTTACAAAGAATTTTACGTCAGTGCAGGCCAATTTAGAATCTCATGCTCTTTATACAAAGGGAATAATTTTAATCGATAATTTTTAATATTTCAACATTATAACAATACGAAGACGTTTCTCTCAAAAATGATATGAAAGAACACCGAGAGTGCTATGAACACAGTTAAGTCGTGAAAGTTTTAGAAGAGAATCGAGGCAGTAGTTACGGCGAGTCGCTACTTTTGTGTCTTATGGTGTTGTCAATATATATTCAGCATTTAATATCCCCATTATTGACACACCTATGGTTATGAAATTTTAAATGTAACTTGTCCACAACTTTCACTACATAACTGCCGGGGCAGTTTTTTTTTAACAATTTATTATCATATATATTTTAAATTTTGTTGAGATTTTTGCATCACGTATTTTAAGAAACCAATATTTCAGTTATTTATGGAAATTTTGGAACGGTGTTGTCACCACTGTTTTCAGCTGATAAAACTTTAGAAGACGTAGTAGGTGTATTTTTGACTTTATTTATTGGGAATATAGTAAAAATAAAAGTTAGCAACTTCTATGACACAAGCTTTTTTTTAATGTGTATCGTTTCTAACAAAAAAAATCGACGATATATCTGATATCATTTCTGTAGTTTTATAAGCTGAAAACAGTGTTGAAAACTGTGTCCTGAAATTTCTTTTAATAATTGAGATATTGATTTTTAAAAATACGTTATGCAAAAATTTCACTAAAATTAAAAGAAAAATATGGTCACAAACTGTAATTTTTATATATATTATATATATATAAATTATATTTTAAATTTCAAAACCATAGGTCTGTTAATAACGGAAATATTACATTCTGAAAATAGACCGAAAATTCCACTCAGAAAACGTAGCGACTGGCCTTAAGAATGTAATAGAGTTGATCACTATTGACAGTTAAAAACTGGGGCAAAAATTAGATCACAGAAAAACACAGGACAGAAGAGGTTCCAGGAGAGTTATTGATGAGGTGGGACAATTTTTGTTGTTCCTGACAATGAAGGGTATCGTTTTTATTCAATTTTGACCATTTAAATTGAATTTGTTAACTTCATAGTAACCTTCATAAGGAGTTCATGATTCACTAGTGAAATCAAAGGGTTTAGTGAATTAAAAATGTTTGTAAAGAACAAATTTTTATTTCTTCTGCAAAAATATTAACATTGAATTATTTTGTGTCTTCGTAGTGTGAAATATAAAAGTTACAATTATTTAAATTACTAAAATTTATATCAAATTGCCGATGAATGGGCAAAATAATGCCTAATCTTGATGATTAGTTTCTTGTTTTGACACGGAATTCAAGGATTCAAGGCAGATCTGTTATTAATGATTGTTGATAATTGCTTGATGATTCTTCTCGAAATTTCGATTTTATTATTCAGAGAATTCTCTATGTATTCTTCTAGAACACGATTCGAACGCCAGCCACCGTGTCTCTTTAAAACTGTTAAATCTGCTAGTAGAGCTGCACTCGAACGCCTAAAACTAGGACTCGTGTATTCTTTTGGATATTGAGAGCCTAGAAATTGTGCAATTTTTCTGAGAATTGTTGAAACGTTCACTCTTACAGGTCGTACCGTGCATTTTTTGTTCTTGAAATTGATGAACAACCGTTTTGTATGAAATCTTTTCAGGTCGTAATATTCTGTACTTCCGAAAAACGTCAGTAGCAGGAACAGAGTTACTTCCACTGATGGTGGTAAATGTTTTGGGTTTATGAGTCTTCGTGTGCGGAATTTGGACCTCAAGTACGCTACCCCTTCAATATCATCGACTGACATGGTCACCTGTTCACCAATTCTACATCCTCCAAAAACTCCCACGATAAAAATTACTTTTTGTATGAACATCTTGGATTTCTTTGGTCTGTGCCCCACAGACTGTTGTTTTAGGAAAGCAGACACTTGATAAAATCTATAACAACGAATAGTTTAAACCTCATAAATAATGAATGCGATGTCACAAACCTGCTTATATCAATATTTTCCTTCACAGATAACATTTCTTCAGTCGGGAATAATACGACCATAGTGACGAAGATTTAAAATCTTTAGACCGTTTTGAAATATAAACCAAAATTATTTTTTCGTCTCTTCTTTTGCATGTTTTTGTTTCCTCCATTCACGAAAATTCGTATAATCTTTTTCATATGAATGCTTGGAGTTTGCTGGCACCACTTTGTTGATAGCTTCCAAAGCTTTCATCGAGGACTGCCGAGGGTACAAAAACATCGTTTTGGTCTTTATTTTCCAAAATTTCAGACATTTTTGTCTCTTATAAACACAAATGCCACAAGTGTCACAAGTTTAGAAAAAGTGGTTATTAAGCTGTTGGTCACGAAAATTACTTTCGCAGTCTACACGATTTCTCGATTGGGATAATTCGAATTTTTATTTATCACTTGAAATTTTATTCCTAAAATTCGTCAAAATAGAATAAAAACGCGTGAATTAATTATATTTATATCATCATATATCAAGTTGGGTCCTTCGGGTACACCAGAATGAAAAAAGAATGTTTTAGACATGAAATTACAATATTTAACCGAAAATTCTCTTCCAGTAAGATAAGATTCAAGAAACGAAAGGAGAAATTTTCAAAAGCCAAATAACACTAAACTTTTTATTGACTAAATTAGAGATGGTAGAATATTATGGAATAGATTCAAAAATTTTAGTAAAGTGGCAGAGTATCCTTGCGAACGCGATGGAGTTTATTCTTTAGAATATAGAATAGCTGGAAGAATTTAGGCTTCAGGTAAAGACTGAGACAAAGACTTTATAACCTCATTTCAGAAATACCCCTTATTCGAAAGAGTTTGAAATTTCTAATCATGTCAGAATTTTTATTAGGAATTTGCAGCTATTAGACTTGGTTCTAATTTTCTCAATCCAAAATGCAGTCAAAATTCAACATTTTCTCAATATGAGCAGAAAAAAGTTATTTCGACAGAACATTCCCTCGCCTCTGAATTACAGTCCTATAAACCCGGTTTCTTCAGTGCAAACTTTCAGAAAGTTGTACTTAACTGTCAAGAAATTTAATCATATTTTTCTTTGCACAAGATGTTAGACAAATATTTGATATTTTTTTATCCAATCACGTTTTCTCAAATTTATTGTTGCTAGTTGTGCTGCCACATACTCACTTGTATTTTTGTTTTACGAGCATAGGTAGTATATATCGCGTTTTCATGCTTTTTCGAAGTTCCGTAAATTTTAAAATATGAAAAAGTAGTTTTACCATTTCGTCTGACTCAATTTTTCAATATTCCCCCCATGAAATTTTTGATAATATTTCAACTATTATCTAATACTGTAAAGATTGTATTATTTGTAGATTTCAATCCCCAGATATTTTCGGTTCCATGTCGTTGAAAATTACTGTCATTTTTCTACAATTGTCAATTGAAATGAGGCAGTTTACATAATTTTGAAAAAATTTTACATTCAAACCGATTATGAAATTTATTTATTTATTTTTTTTTTAAACACATAATATATAGTATAAAAAAATTGGTCTAAAGAGTTTAGACAGTACTTCCCTCGCTGTCGGAAACTTGACGATTGCATGCCTATTGTGTTTTTTTTTTCTTATTACATTTTTGTAGTGGGAATTTAAAAAAAAATTGTGATGACGTCATCAACATTTTTGCAAGGACACGTATATCAGTTGGGATAGATGTAGTGTAATACTAAGAACAAAATTATTGTATTCCCAAATTTTCGGGAAAATGAATTGGGTCGTTTTGAATATTGATTTGTTATAATCAATAAAATAACGAAACAATTTACTCACGTATACGGCGCCGGTGTGTAATATCTAGAGAGCGGATTTCTGTCGGGCTAGGCAAGGCCAAACTCGGTACGGCTCGTACGGGATGCGAATTCATTGCGGTTGCGGACTGCACGTCGTTTATTTGAGATTAGAATAACGCTGTTTCGTTGCACTCTGCTGTTAATTCCCGTTCTCATTTACTTAGCCGTTTGATTAATAAATCGTTAATTATATTTATGGAATTAGTACCGATTAAATTTAGTGATTATCTATCACCCGGCGATCCAGCACGTCCCCCCCTATAATCGTGACGTAGCCCGACACAAATCCGCTGTCTAGTAATATGAGGGGCAACTGAAAATCGTTTATATATAAATATTCTTAATTTAAGATGACAAGAGTAACAGCATACGTGAGAGTCAAACAGAGAAACTGTAAACAAAACGACCATCGGTTTTATTGCTTCGACTTCCGCTTATTATATAAAACATTGGGTTTTATTTTAATTCTTGATGGTGAAATTCACAATTGGTTGATTATAAACATGTCTATTCTACATTCGCGGAACCAAGTGAGCGCATAAAACAAATGCAGGTCTGTAATGTTAAAGT